AATTTCTTTGATTCACTTCCTAGATAATAAAAGGAAATATTCGCCTTATTTATGTCAATAGACATTATGTGTTTTTGCTGAGATGTGTTTTGCTTTTGTTTTTTATTTTTTTGTTTCGTCCCTTTTTTAAGCAATATATTCTACTGTTTCATAAGTGAATAAAATAATTTTCTTTCCACTTATTTAGTTTTTTCTATAATAAGACCTTACTTCAACGCGGACAGTCTCATGATGCGTCATCACTGTCTTACTGCTTGTAGAGCGACTTTACTTCCACAAATCTATCATGACTGTAGGAAGAAAATGAAGTTCAACAGATAAAATGTGTGATGGCAGGGCACGACATGTTGCTCGTTTTAATAAATCCCGCTTTTTTATCAGAATCTTAACTTAGTAGATGAAGTTCTTTTATGATTGCTTCTAGTGCTTTATTAAGACAGATATCAAAAGAGTTTTGATGTATATTAGTAGTATTCGACCTGCTCTATTTTCTGCAACTTAGAGAGTTCGAATTGAATCTGATAGTTATAGAAAAAAAAGGATCTCAAGTAGCGCATTTTTCTAGAGATCAGTCTGAAAAAGCGGAATTTATAAAAACGAGCAATATGTCGTGCCCTGCATTCCCATCTCACATATTTTTATTCTTCGAACTTCATTTTCTTCCTACAGTCATGCATGATAGATTTGTGGAAGTAAATTCGGTCTACAAGCAGTAGACAGTGATGAGCATCATGAGACCGTCCGCGTTGGACCATGGTCTTATTATAGAAAAAATTAAATAAGTGGAAAGAAAATTATTTTATTCACGTATGAAACAGTAGACTATAGGCTACTGATCACTAAAGAATCTGATGAAATTGTACTGTATTCTTCCTATACGATAAATATTATCAAAGTTTTTTCTCTTGGAATTCTCAATAATTCTCTTTGGACAGAACTGAGTTTAAAAACAAAATAACAGATAAAAAGTCCTTGAGAATATCGTCTCAGTTCCAGTTGCGTAAATCGATGCAGAAATTCAATTTAGAAAGGTATCGAGTGAAAAGGAAACATACCATTTTTGGTTTTTGTTTCACTTTCATGAGAATAAGAAACAGAATGAGTCAAGGTGCCTGACTAGTGTGCGTTTAAAAGAATAAAATATTCATTCGATTACAGTGAGTAAAAGGTATTTCATGTTTCAATTCCATACAGCACTAAGACATTTTTCTCATACAAAGTTCTTATAAGCTTTATTGAAAAGAAAAAAAGTTAGAAACGATCAGTACTATAATGAGGAGAAGGAGGCGAACCCATTGTATCTTTACATCATTGACTGCGGACAAAGGACAGGACAAGAAATACATATAAAAACAAGTGACAAGGACAACATAAAAAAGACAAGTACAGAGAAAAATAAAGACAAAAAATGAAGAATGAAGAAATAGGCGTACAAGGAGGGAAAGGAGGTAGAATTGTTGTGTCTTTAATATAAGTTGATATAAGCTTTATTATATTATGTAATGAAGAGAAGACGAAAAAGAAAACGAAAACAGCTACTGGATAGACATATGTACAGAAGAAAAAGAAAGAGGAAAAACTCATGAGGTCATTTTGACTGTTCTATAAAATAAAAAGTTGCAAATGTACACTGATATATAGTTAAAGAAAGAGACAGATTGACACAGACACATTCATTTCCTAGCACGGTTAGATAAAAAAACATGTACACAAAATACAGGCATTCCAACAGAAAATGTTTGACTGACTCTATTTTTCCACAAGCGCAAAAGCGACTGGTACTCAAATGTTTTTGAAAAAGATCATAATTTAGTCGAGAGAAGTTGACTCTCACTTGATTTAGAATGCAATCATATTTACGCTCACTGAGTTTAAAAAATACAAAGTTGATATTTTCTAACTGTGTTCATCATGACGCGGTTGTTTGTGTTGCTGTTAGATTAAATTAGAATGTTAGAAACTAGCTAACGTTAGAAAGGCAAAATACGCAGTTGATTGCAATTAATATTTTCTCATGTCATATGAGTACGTCAACATTGTTGATACTGTTCGGGTTGAATGATGACATATCAACTTGTCTTGTTTGTTCATGACTGGAAGGATCTCTCTCAAACAGATTCAGGAGCCCCCAAATAAGAAGATTAAAAGCGAAAATTTGAGCGCTAATCTTGAAACTAAAGCAGTCATTTGATGCCTCTACTTGTTGCATAGGAAGGTATGCCTCATTAAGAACTTTGGAAACAACACCGGTCCGGATTTCGACATAATACGGCATGATTCTGATAGGATTGTGCCAGATTTCATCGGATTCCGGCATGTTCCAACGTCAGATCCTGTCGGATCTTTCAGGAACTTGTCTTCGGAATCATCGGTCTGGGTGCTATATAAACAACAGAGAAGATGCCTTGGTCGAAACGTTTTGTTTTCTGTTTCAGTGTATTTCATTTCACTTTTGCTATGTACTAAACTGCAAAAACAAGTGTCAGTTTCACTGATGAATAGAATGTGAACATAATCAGAGTTGGTCTTAAAAAGCTGAGCAATTGTTTCTTCAATTACAGAATATTCTGCTACTTGTCCCCTGTCTTTTCTAGATTCACGGACGTTTCTAGGACCCATCAGTTCCAAACAGTCTAATAAATGGTAAGTCAGGCGATAGAAGGAGTTGATCACCTACGAATTCAATGGTATTGGAAATCAAATTCTGATCCATGGTCAACAAATGGAAATGAAGAATGGACAAAATATTCTGATATTGAATCAGCGATTATCGAAGAAGTATTTAATCAAAAGAATAAAACAAAACTGGCTGAACTGGATAATTATTGGATTAACTTAAACGATTCCATACAAATCAGTAAATTGGATCCAAATAAACAACGGCAAATAAAACGGGTTCTAACTAGTAGAAATGAAAGTCAAGGTTTAAGAGAAGAAAGATTCTTTCTCACGCCAACATTGAGTAAAACGTTCAATGATGACTATGGCATAGAAGCTTATACTTTTCTTTCACAGTGGAGGAAAGACAAGAAACTTTCTGATGCTGAAGTAGTAGAGCAGGCAGCGAATGGAATAATTATCGAAGGAAAGCAACTAGGTAAACATTGTGAGTCACAATATCTCGCTCGCCAACTAATAGCCGTGAAAAATGAAAAGAGAGAACAAATTTACAAGTGTTGCATTCAGCTATACACAATGGAATGCTTTCTATATAAACTATTAAATAAAGCACTGAGAGAAACCGCCACGAGCAAAACAAACACTTTGGGACCATTTTGTTACATTCTATTCAGAAGCTGGCTAAAAACTGATCGAAACCACGCAGCGGAACTGTATCGAGGTGTAAACATCGATCAGATCACGCTAAAATCTTATGAGAAAGCCACCGGTCATGATAAATGCTGGAACGGCTTCATCTCAACTAGCAAAAATCCTCAAAAAGCCCAAAACTTCGGCAATACCCTATTTATTATCGACGCGACCCAAAACGACGGCTTAGACATATCGCACCTTTCCCCCTACGACGAAGAAGAAGTCATACTTCCTCCAGGAACAGTATTTACAATCATGCAAGTCAACAAAACAACAACCAAAACCTATATTTATTTGAAACTAGTCAATCATCTTTATCTTTATCTTTATGGTTATGGTGTTAATAGTGATATTGGTGCGGATAGTTTGTGAATCGTTTGTGTGCGCCGGAAGTGAACTGAAAGTGTGGTTTGGTGTTGTGAAATTTTTCGTACATTCAGTCGTCCGCTGCCAGTTTTTTTTGTGGAGACAATTAATCGAAACGGTGATGCGGTGTTGTTAATAAGAAAATTTTCGTTTACAAGAGATAGAAAAGAAGTGAATTACGAGGGAAAGTATAATAAATTTAAGCAAATGGTAGATTTGTTAGTGAAAAGAGTACGTAACATTGAAGTATAATTGCAGTTATTGTTATTTGAGATTGTGGTTCCAGAAGAGTCGCTGATGAAATAACTACTGGAATAGAGTATTGGTGTCTCCAGTATGGCAATAGTATGGACAGATCGATCAGGTGGGCTCTCGTTTGTGCCGAGTAGTTTGGTCACTCCAGTGACCATGGGGGGTGTGAGGAACCTATATTTCCCCTAATTATAAGTCCTTGAGTTGATTGTATGCGTGCGTTAAGATCTGTAGTAGTACTCTTTTATTGGACTACTCTTTATCACAAACTACAAAAAACTAACTTCACACAAGAAAAATACTAATATATATATATGTACTACTGCATGCGCAAAAGATAAGAACCAAAAAAGAACAAAGCGAGGAAAGAACAAAAACAGACAAAGAACAGAACAGAACAAAAGAGAGTAGCCCTACCGAAAGAAGTACATACAGGACAGAGAGGTTGTGACAAAGAATCGTCACATACTCCCCCACCGAGATCTAAGTGCCCTCACCCGGATACTGCGGAGAAGGAGTAAAACAAAAAGTAATTAAACCGGAAACAGCTACAGTGCAAGATTAAAATACGATACAGAAAAGTGAAGAGAAGGAGAAAGAACAAAAAAAATCGACAGGATCGCAAAGACAAAGAAAACAAAAAGGGAAAAGTCTAGAGGAAAAATTAATCATAACAATGGGAAGGTAGAAACGGGAAAACAACAACAACAACGCTAACAAACAGAAATAAAAAAAAAGCAAAAATAAAAAATAAAAACATACGCGGAATCATGGAGTTAATGTTTTAATCGAGCGAGATGATTTCTGACGTAGTGCACGGTGATCGATGAGATGAAGTGACGGCGGAGACGCGAGGGTTCGGTGGTGGAGTGCGCGACGTGGTATGAAGATGAAGAAGATGGAGGATGCGATGGTGAACCGTCATACAATCGGCGGTGAGGTCGAGGAGAATATCGCGTGAACGTTGAATGCGTGACGAAGAAGACGGTTACGGGGAAAACAATGGTGCTACGTATGTGTCCGTAACGCCTTGGTGTAGGTGCAGAACAGATTGAGCGAGGTGTGCGGTGATGGTAGCGAGACACGAAACAGTAAATAGAAGTTCGTCGACGTCGTCGGAAACGGCTGGAGTGGTAACGGATGATGGAGACGTGAAAGTGGATACGGGCACTGATGACGTGGATGAAGGTGAAGATGGTATGATGTAAGATGGAGCGTTTGTAAAATAACGTAGAAGATATTGAATAGCGAGCAATGGAAAGATAATGACGATGAGTGAACGATAAAGTGAGAAATGATCGGGTACATAATGGAAGAGTAGAGAAAGAGAAACAAACAAAAGAAAAAACAGGATGACCTTAGAGGAATTGAAGTTAAATAACCTTGAACAACTGGCCAGTGCATGTGAACGTGGATGATAAGAGAGTGAATGATTGATGAGAAGTGTCATCGTTGTATATAGGAAAAACGGAGAGATGGAACCTGATGAAGACAGAAGAGATAAGAAGGTTTGACAATGATGAATGATTAGAGTACGTGTGACTGCTCAGTGTATGTGAGTGTTGATGATAAGGGAAGGAATGATTGATGAAGAGTGCCACTGTTTTGTAAAGAAAAAAATGGAAGAAATAAACAGTTTTGACAATGATTAATGGAGTTTCGTGTATTGTGAGTGAACGTGCACTGTTGAGAACATATAATACAGATAAGTAGTGGCCTTGAGTTCGGGCAGAGGCGCGAAATAAAAGAAAACTGGTAACTATTAGAAGGGAAAGAGGAGAATGGAACACAGTAGAGTGATTAAATGGCGTATATGGTTGAAAAAATGATACAAATAAGACGAATAAAAAATTAAAAAAACTCGATGGCAGGGACCAATTACGATGAATAGAGGGTGTTAGGTTTGGAAACACGCGTGCTTCGACGCGAAACACTTGAGCAAGTATTAGGAGGAATAGGTGTGCGACATCGAGCTGGTAAAGCGTTAGGACGACATGTAGTAACGGGCAGCGAGGAAGCCTGAGTTATCCAGCAGGGATTAAGACGATCAGCGGTAGTCGTGCCCAGAAGAACACCATCAGACAGACGTTGAATTTAATACGTTGCAGGACCGAGTATTTTGACAATTCGGCAAGGTTCCTGGTAACGTGGGTCAACTTTGCTAGTTGCCCATTTTCCGGGTAATGGTTTAAGCTGAACGATACAAAAACCAAGAGGAAATCAGTGGCCCGAACATGACGTAACAAACTATCATCAATAATTAAGTGATGATGAGAGGGAGATGAGAGTGCATTCATTTTGATGAACGACTCTAGAATAAACAGGGATTGTGCCCATGAAAGATAGGAACTATCAAACACCAAAATTAGACTGGGAATGAAGAAACATTGAGAACATCAGTAAAGATGATGAATATGTAAGGTCCAGCGAAAAGTGGACGTAGGTTGTACAAAAAAAAATGTGCGTCATTCTATACAAGATCTAACGCTTAAATATGTCCTTCAAATAGCGAAACGATACACTAGCATAGTGTTATCAGTATAACAAAAGACAATCAAGAAATATCGTGTACGGATACATGAAGACGCAGAAGGAACCTTCTGCGCAATCCGTTGCGCAAGCACTTAAAAAGTGTTACGTGTGGTGGATGCATGCGAACTGCAAACCCAAAGTAATAAGTAATACAAAAAAACCCATGGTCTACCACTACCACGGTGTCGACGATATGGCGCAGCCAGTTAGAGCTGCGATCGGTTTCACGGACAGTGATAAATCCTCAAGAGAGGCAAGATCTGGCACCAGCATGGGGGAAAGGGTAGATGGTTCGATGCCTTCGATCTGCAGTTTGGTAGCATGGAAGTCAAGGAGGGGCACTGCATCAGCAACCGCGACACAAAAAACTTCATATGGATCATGCTCACAAAATATGTCGGACAGGCCGGCGAGGGAATCGACACATTCGTCGGAAGCAGACACAAGGGGTTTATCGATAGGCGAAGACGAAATCGGAGCTAGCTGGACTATTTCAGCTTCCGTTGAGGGATGATCAGTTGAGTCACCATCTACTGACAGAGTGCGTTCATCTTCAGTGTTAGAAAGAGGAATATCCGATATGTACGATTGATAAACGGAGTCATCCTGAATGGAGTAAGGAAATACGTAACAACTCGAGGTCAGATAGCGCTGTGTGAGAAAGTCACAGCCATCAAAGAATTCAATTTCATATTTGTCCTGCAGAAAGAGAATTTGGGTAATTCGTGCTGGGAGCTTACGATGTTCCTTACCGATAAGGACAAAATCACCGAGTTCGAATAGCGCTTCTTCTTGTCCCTGTTCGGATGATATGTCCCAAAAGTGTACACTAGGGAAACTGTAAGGATGAGTATCGGAAGAAGGGCGGAGAAGAGAGGGGGAAACAATAAGTGGTTCAGAAACCGATGAACGATCAAGTGGAGGAGGAGGCAAAGGTATGGAGGGATAATCATATATGGTCGGGCGCAGTGCAAGATAACTATCCTCTAAGGTTTGAGCCAAACGTTCCAACTGGTTTTTGGTAGCCAAGGAAGTATCATCTACTTTCAACTGTAATGCATGGACTGCATGTTGAAGAAGTTCAATTTGATTCTCGATATGCTGGTTCTTACGGTCAATTTTTTCATTTTGTTCCTCCATTCGAGAATCTGTGAGTACAGTCTGAAAGCGATGATTATCATAAAGCGTTTGAAGATGGTCCTGGATGGACCTTTCGAAGGTGGATAAGTTAGGAAATTCAGCCATGATAAAAACCAATGTGACTTACCAGACAATATGAAGAAAGATAGAAAGAAAAAAAAAAGAAGAAGAGTTTTGCAGGAGAACGGAAGGTT